ACCAGCCATTAGTGTGTATTTTGTTTTGTGTTCACTTGCTTTCAAAGTCCCACCCCCTTCGCAGCCCCACCACCCCTGTGTTTACTGCATCTCTACTGAAAAGTCGCCTGTCCTTCCTCTTAACTTCTAGCCCCCTCCTATTCCATTGGTTCAAATGTTTTAATAAAGGAGGGAAAAAGTCAAAAGTCAAAAGTCTCTTTTCTCAGCTTCCATCTGGCTCCAGTCCCTTGCATTCTTTCTCAAACGTATGCATTGACAGTGCGTTCTCCCCCTGCCCCTCCACTGGTGCAGACACTGATACATAAAGAAGAAGCTAATGTATGGAGTTAGGGCTCTGATTAAATGAGTCTGGAGTGTAGGAGCGAGCTAATGTTTAGCGCTGTCTGGCTGATTAAAGCATAGCAAACAAGTGATTGCTATGCAGCTCTGCGCCTCACTGCTAACTCATACACAAGGCTGCTCTCTGTTCTCTCTCCATGTCTCTTCATCTTTAGATCTTTCTTTAATTCTCTGTCTCTACCCCTTTACCTCTCTAATTCTCTCAGTCTCTCCTTCTCTCTGTCACTCTGATGTGCTTTCCCCCCTCACTGTGCCGAAGAACAAAGCATCATTTCCATCCCACCATTCTTGGTTGCATTTGCTCAGCCTTTTTTCTCGTTTTAAAAATGGGGTCCAGCTTTGCACTGAGCCTGAAGAGGAATAAAAAGATATGGATAAATAGATAGATGAATGCCTGTTCTCCCTTTCTGTCCATTGCTCCTTCCTAGCTTTATGTTTCAGCTCTCCTGGCATTTCCCTGTTTGAAACGCCACCATTCTCAGTCCCTCTAATGGGAGTTTTCCACTTTAGGAAGGTGTAATGCTCCTCCTGGGTTCTGCGTTTGTTTTCGTTGCTTTCTGTCCTCGTTGGAAATGTCTTTCAGGAGCTATATTTCCAAAGAGGCAATACTAAAATAAAATTCCAGGAATGTGAGGGGGAGGGGGTGGGTGTTCGAAAGGCTGTTGCCTATGATAGGTTCTCCCTGTTCAATAGCTGTTTGGTAAACTGCTCATATATTCTAGTTAGTGCAGATTTTGTTGCACTAACAAGCACTGTGGTCCTTGACTCGCGTGCTCTGATCAGTTCTACGTGTGTGTGTGTGTGTGTGTGTGAGGACCATAGCCCCACTCTTGTCTAAACACAGACCAACACAGGGAAAAACAGAGTGGAAAAGCAAAGCAGAACAGACCACATCTATATCACCCAGTATGGAAGCTCAGGGTACACAGCTCATCATACTCCTACAGTGGAAAAACAACTTTAGACATCCTATGTCTCTCAGCATCCCCCCTACTCAGTTACTGTGCTGACAGCCTCAATTCAATTATTACAAACTGTGGGATAATCTCAGGCCACTGATTGGTCACTGTTGCCCTCTATTAAGTGAACACAGCAGGACAGGAGAGATTAAAGTACAAAGAGAAATTTGACAAAGACGAATAGAGTAAAAAAACAAGGGGGGAGAGGAAACTTAAGATGTTAGTTAAAGAAATAAAACAAAACATGTGCCCTAGTCTCTTTATCCCCTTAGAGCCCCTGTATCCTTCAGGCTCAAGCTAAAACAAACAACCTTGCCCTTAAAAGCCCATCCATAATCCCAGTGTAATCACCCAGGCAGCGTCACCACACAAAACTAAAACATGAGAATGAGGTGTGTGTGTGTGTGTGTGTGTGTGTGTTTAATAAATTTGCTGGATTCTACATCAAACAGCAAACTTTGAACCAATGTATCATCCTGAACACTAGCTGAAAATGAAATTTCAAAGCTGCAGTAAGTTTGTTTCTATCTGCAGTGTTTAGAAAAATCAACAGAGAACTGATCTGGAACTGCTTAACCTATTGGGAGACGTTTATAAAAGTGTATCAATAATGGGGTAAGAGATTATCTGAGATTATTTGAGATTACTCTATGATCTAGGACTGTGTCATTAGTATCCCCAGGAGTTGGCCAAGCTTTTACATTTTTGCAAATTTGGGTAAAAGTTTATTTTTCTGTTGTTCAGAGCAAAGCCTCTGTTTTTAGAGTGCGTTAAACGCTTTCTGTAACCACTGACCTAGTGTATTATTGTTATGCCATCAAGATGCTTGTGTGTAAGAGTTTTAACTGTGTGTATAGTATAATGAAATGATCATTTTCTAGTGTAAATTAAGACGTACAAATGTGATTTATTTATAAGCCATTCACAATCATAGTGGCTTTCACAGTGAACTTATTCCTGGTGGCTACGGGCTTTTATGCAAATAAAGTAAAACTAAACTGATTCATTAAAATGTAATTTCTACCCAGACTAAAAAATAAAAATGAACAAAGTGAGAGTGGCATGTCTTTCCAGCACTCTCAGGAGAGGCCCTGTTTGGAAAATGGGTTCATTGACAGATGCAAACATGAATCCTCAGCTGGTGACAGTATTGAACATGAAGCCGATCAATTGAATTTCAATCTCATAGTTTACAAAGATCAACACATTAACATCAACAATGAAGCTGTTCAGTCACACAATGATGGCTGCTAGTTCAATCTAAAAATGCAAACAAGAACATTTTAACCATTACTGTTTCAGTCACAGAACACATTTGCTAAAAAAATAGGTTAGGTTTCCAGCTTTCTAAGCATTTCCAAACCAAATATATGCAAGTTTCAGTACATGGGTGAAAAATCAAACCACATTCAGCATCAGAATGTAAACAACACTCAGGTGTCATTTTACAACCACATGGACATTTTGGTAAGTGAGCTGTGTGTGTTTCTTTCACTCACAATTCAAAAGATGCTAACAGAGCCAGACTGGGGCTTAAATATCCTTAGCCATAACTGAATCAACATTATGCATGTGCACACATAAATGCTTGTCTTTCCATAGTTGTGATAAAATTCAGTGAAACAATGCATTCTGGGAAATGCGCATTCACAATTTATTACCGATCAAAATGATGGTAAGTGCCTAACCCTATTCCTAACTGGCACCATGCTCAGCAAAATGTCCCCTTTAAATATGCCCCCTGCTTTAAATTTAAAATACCCTGACTAAATATTCTGACTTTTATGACGACCCTGCTGGAACACAAAACCCCAAAAGTGATCTAGGTCAAGTGCTCCACTGACAAGACACATCATACAAAAGAGAGGGCCGGGCACTGCTGCAACCAACTGTTGGTGTCCAAAGTACAGCTCTTACATATTATCACCTTCACTTATTGTTGAAAACAACATTCTTTGCTGCAAGCAAGTAAAAGTGATGACCTCATGCACTCTAAGGTCAAAACTGGTGGAATGATTATATCGTCACTCAGCACAGAGAAAGGTCAGTTTACATGTAAAAATCCATGAAACTCTTGGGACTTTTAAAAGAAAAAACATCAATTACATTTTTAGTTCAGAGCTGGCTAAAGTACTGAAACAAAGATTAGACTGTCTGCAGACCAGGAAGCCTGAAATGAAGAGAATGTGTGCAAAAAGGGTTACAGTTGTTTACATGTTCATTCATTGTGGCCAAAATACCCTCTAATTACATTTGACAACCTGCCTTTTATCTTAATTTAATTATGTCATTTTGCATCCAATGTAATAAAGGTCTGCTGAATGCAATAATGGAAATGTGTATTATCATCCACTGCTTCCCACTGGATGAAAGCCCCTGTTGTCTGTCTCACAAATGAGCACAATATCAGAGCCTTTCAAAATCTCTGGTTCCTGTTGAAGGCAGCACATCCAAGACTTAGCCAGGTTTTGACAACATTGTTGGTCACTTCTAATAAGCCACTGGCAGACTCTTGGTCCACCTGGAATTTCATATAAAACACATTTTCTATTAGCATAATGAAAAATGTTAATTTACACATCTGTTCACGATCAAAGTTTGGGAAATGATATAGTATGATTTAATATCAAAAAAGTTCACGGTTACTTCTGACACAACCTGTTTATTTACCATTAATGAAAATCATGAGTTTTCCTTTAATCAAAGTGCTTTTGTGGCCTAAACCTAACCACAGACAGGGCTTTGGACACAACCCCAGCCTCCCGTTGCTGTGTACATGGTCTCTTAGTTGTAGAAAAGTGTGTTGTTTCTGTGAGACAGGGTTGTAATGGCATAGAGCTGGGAGTCACACGGGGGCTTTATGTGCCTGTGGCCACAGTTCTGCAACGGTAAATTTATCAGTAAGATTCTGTTGAACCAATGCATCAACTAAACACATGAATAAACAGAGAACTGTAGCTTTAACGAACTCTTCTACAGATCATAGATGGAGAAATACTAACCATCAGTTTCACCTGACTGAAATGAAGCTTTTCCCTGGTGCTTTTCCATTGGTTGGGAGATATTTAAAATTGGGATTTTTTTTACACAGCCAATCATATCTCAAAAAGAAGGGTTTTCCACAGCTATCCCAGCCCTTATACTCCTCTCCTCTCCTCTCATTGGCTGCCTATGAGAGTCCAAATCTACCCTAGCAGTGGTTGGATGCTGCTCCCAGCCAATGAGGTAAGAGCAACTGTTGCATTCATTTGCCTTCTTCTGCTGCAGTCCCTGTGTCTGAACTGTGCAGGGTGCGTGTCAGAATAAAGGCCAAATAATGTGACCTTAACAGTTGTGCATTATATACCTGACATCTTAGCACAAGCGCTTTTTACAAATCAGAAACATTTATAGAGGTTTATATTTTCACTGTGGCCTATAAGATTCTAAAGGATCTGTGGAAGACCAAAATAAGATATTCTGAGACCAAACTTTTCTCACGTCCCCATGCCATGCTGTTTTAATTGTGTCCTAATAACAAAAATATGACATAATTACTAGCAAGCCTATATACAGACAGAAGACAAAGTAAGAGAGGACAGGGTTACTCCAGTTTCCAACGCCCTCCATCGACGGCGACATCTCTCTCTCTCTCTCTCTCTCTCTCTTTCGTTGTCTCGTTGCTGCCTCTGCGCGCCTGTTCAGTTTCCCTCACACCGCTTCAGCGGCTCTCGGAGGGAGGACGGATAAACGGCGCTGACCGTACTGGATTTGACACCCGAAGGAGGGAGGGATGTTACTGTGATTTCCCTCTATTCTCCCACAACACACACCTCCTCTTCTCCACCACCAATCCTCTTCATCACTTTTATCTCGGGACCTTATCGAGACGCACTGCTGTGCCGTGTTTTTCACACTCTTTTTAATTCATCCTTTAAGCCCTTTGGTTGTTTGTCCTTCTGCTTCTGCGCCCCAGCGGATCAAAAATAAGAGAAAGAGGAGAACCAAGCTGGTTCTGCATTTCCCCCCCAAGAGCACACAGACAGGAAAAAACTGGGCTTTAAATCAGTGGATGGGTTGGACATCTGATAAATACTAGTTAAGAAGTGATCGTGTTCTATTGGCTTGTATGCACTGGCGAAATTTCCCTGAAGAGACAGGGTGCGCGCGGAGTCTTTTACTTCCAAGGTAAGAACCGCTTGAGTTAAAGGACTGGTTAAAGGACCGAGTTAAAGGATCATTGGTACATTAATGCAATCCATTTATCTTTTCTCGCCCTCTGTGGGTTTCTCTCTCCTTGCTATCCGTGTGAGGCTTTACTGAGCGTAAAACAGCTGAAAGCGATTGAAATGAGATGTTTCGGCTCAGAGGATGCTGGGGAGAGTCTAGTTAGACTGACTCCAAATACTGGGCTAGCACACAAACACTACATAGCCTATAGGTTACACATTAAAAGGGTCACTGTGAGAGAACGTCGGACTTCGTTATGCTTGCGCTTGTAAGGAACATCCAACGACAATCCCACAGAGCCTTTGCGCATTGGCGATGGTATTTGCTGTGCTTCTGGTTGCAACAGTGCAGACTTTCTTCGGTTCTCAGGGTCACTGGATGACACTTGGATTTGTGCGGTTTTCGCATAACACAGCCTTTATTTTTGACGTTTCCAGTGCAGTGCGTGTCGATGTGTGTCCGTATATTTACGCTGTTCAGTGTGTGCGTTAGTGTGAGCGTCTGGCTGTGTATATGTGTCTGGCCACGTACAGTGGCTAATTTCGGTGGCGGCTCTTTGGCTGTCTCGGTGGCCCCCAGCGGTTCCGCGTAACGGCGACGCACAACTTTTCCTCGAACCACCGTCAAAACAGGCTTACCACACCATGACACCATTAACCACAGAAAATAACACAGTCAGTCATTTCCATTAATCCAAAGAAACAGTTATTACTTTCAAATGCAACAATTTAAATGCTCAACCACTGGCTTTTCCTTTATCGTTCTCTTTTTTTTTCGTTAGTCTTGCGTGTTTTATCCATATTGACCGTTGTCTGTAGCGCTTTTTATGGCTTTGTGGGGTTCAGATCTTGAAATGTGAATACATGAAGACTATATAGGGTTTCTGTTCAGTCAATTTTCACACTTGAACCGGAGCTGCGTCCTTGCCCTTACCCTATGCGCCAGTGCCGGTGAAACTGCATAAAAATTGCAAACACAACACTTGCCTGCAGGCTCACTCAGGATCATTCTGCACTCACTTAGGTGCGTGCGTTTGACTTCTCGTCCCTGTACGGCCACATTTTTTCTTTTAATTACCACACAGACGCCTACGGAAATGTGCTTAAATTGTGTGATTTCTGGTTGAGTCGATTTGAGCTGATCTGATATGAAACCTCATGCATGGAAGGAGCACTGAGCGGCTGCTGGGTCGCTTAACGGAAACTGAGATATCGGTGTATAAATTGGGCAGCTGCAATTCCGCTGCGTTTTCAGTGGTGGAGCAGAGAGAGAGGCGTTGACTGTAGGGCTGTACAGTCTTTGGTATTCATAGCGCAGCTCAAGATTGCTGCTCTCAAGCAAGCAATAATCTCTCTTCCTCCCACCTTTCTCTCTCCCTCTGTCTCCCACACTGTTGCGCTATGAAAGGTCTCCCTGCTCTTACACATCTCGTCTGCCGCTAGTCCCCCTTTTCATTTCATCTTCCTCCTCAGTGTCCTCTCCCTTTCCTTCTACCCAGGTCCCTCAACCCACTCCCCGCATCCCTCTCTGTACTGCTCAGCCTTGTGGGAGCCATTGAGAAAATCATTTGCTCTTGTATATTATTCGACAGAGAGGTTCTCACCAGAGTTTGTTAAATATCAAAAAGTGTTGTAAGTTCTTGTGTTAATTTCTCACAGTCAAAAAGCTTATTTTATTTTTAAACTTTCTGCTAGTTTCTACTGCTGCAACAATGCTGTGGTTTTCCTGTGCATATTATGTGGTTACACTTTAGACAGTGCTTCACTGTTTAGTTTTACCTCTGCATTTTGCCGATTAGCCCACAGACAGTCAACAATGCAGAAAAGAAAAGAAAAACTCCCCTTCTTCTTTTTTTGGTTCTGAGACTTTACATTGTGGTTCAGTGACCACATCAAAGTCACATCACAAGAAGAGAATATCCCTTTTTGTTGCAGTTGCTGCTTCATTTATAAAAACTATAGTACTGCCAGATTTGTGCTTTTGGATGCTTAGTTGACTAATTAATTATTCGCGCCACAGTAGTTCAGTCATAATATTTCAGGAAGGGAACCAAGGGTAGAAATGGTCTGCAGAGGAGACCATAATATTTCAGGAAGGGGACCAAAGGGTAGAAATGGTCTGCAGAGGAGACGAGAGGAGGAACAACCAGGCAGGCAATCAGAGGAGCAGAGCTGAGAAGAAAGGAGTCTGACTCCTATCAGGACATGACGAAGAGGGAGGAGAAGAGGGCAGCCTGACTTTTATCAGCTGCGTATTTTGTCTCATTCATTTATGAGAGCCACTGCTGTCTGAGGTGAAACGAGACCTGCAGCCAGAAACCGGCCGTCTTCACTTTGTTAGCTCCCTTTTCAGTTCTCACAAAAGTGGGACGTTTTCATGTCAGGAAAGTGAGCGTATAATAGCAGGACAGAAACACAGATATCCTGTGGACCAGATCATCTCTGTGCTATTTGGGGTTAGCCATAAACAGAAACCTGGCTTGGATGGCAGATTAAAAGTGGGTGGGGTATCAAATTCTTCACTGATGTTGAGCCAAGAAATCACACAAACTGACAGAGAACTGTCTTCAGATTTGTTGGATTCCTTGAAGTGGTTTCAGGGCCTGGCAATGGAAATCTACTTTATGGCTGTATTCCCTGTAGCTTGTAAAGATATAATTAAACCTGCAAACATGTTCATAAAATTAGTCAGCAGAAAGAAATTAGTTTCCTTCAGCAATGTTTGGAAAAATACAACTAGGCCAGTAAATGCTTGGACTCAAGATGCACACTAATCAGGATTACAGATTATGTTATGTTTGTGGGTACACTGTTATAATAGCATAGAGCCACTTAATCTCTTTATAAAAGACCAGTGACTCTGAGCTGAAGGTCAACAGCTGTAATCCCACACTGATTTTAGTCATGGTCAGTCTCTTCAGACACTGACTGATAATGTACACTCACACACAGCTGAGGGTTTCAATTTACATAAAAATCATTTGAGTTGATTTTTCCACATTCTTAAAAGGTGCAGATTATTTTTGAAAAATGACTTCACCTCCTAGAATGAGTTTAAAGACGACAAACATCACTAACACAGCTCATCAGGGAGCCAACAAGACAGAGGGATTCATTTATTACATTATAATTGTTATATTTATTATTTAATTGGGTGCCAGCTGCTCATTCTGTCATGTTGTGGCAATGTAAGATAGTTACTTTCAAAGTGTGAAAGATGGAAAAAGAGTTTGGAAAGAGAGACACAGGGAGATGCTGCAGATGAAGAGGTGAAATCCAAAGAGAAGACCTTGAGGGAAGTGAAGAGAGGAATGGATGAGAGAGGTACAAGACCTTTTCTAGGTGACGACAGAGGGAGCTGTTGGGCTTTGCAGCAGCTATGGCTGCTCTGTCCTTTTTTTTCTTCTTTCTGCTCTGTTTTCTGATTTTTTCCCAGTCCCTCCTGCTCTCTCTCAGAGGGCCAGTCAGAGAGATGGAGAGCTAGTTAGGCTCCCCAGGGATGCTGGATTCAATCTGCAAACCCTGAACACACACACATACAGAAAAATGTAGTCTGTCTGGATAAGCGTGCCCACCTTGACTGGCTTCTGCTACCTTCAGATTCACATTATGTCCTGGAGAGAGAGCAGGGAAGTGAGAGGGGAGGGGGGAACAGCAGTGAAGAAGGGGGACGCTGCTTCCCTCCCGTCTCTGCTTCCAACAGACAACTGGTTAAACCTTTCTCTCTCTCTCTCTCTCTGTAACTATCTCACCCCCTTCTTTAGCCCCATAGTTTCCTTCAGCTCTTCATCTTCCTCCTCTTTGTTCAACACAACACAGTGGAAGCCAGAGAGACGACATACTCACTGATAATTTCCTGTGGCAGTGTGCTTGGATTATAACTCTAATCTCTGGTCTCAACCAGATTAAATGACGAAGTCAGTAATTAGTGTTTTTGACCTCTAATCCCTTTACTGGCCCTCAAGAGAAAAAAAAAGACAGTGGCTGATTTGTCTGGATTTAGTGACAGGTGGAGAAACTATTTCCTGGTCTGACAGCGCAGGTGGTTCATGATTGTTGACACAGTTTCCTCACAGTATAATGTCTCGGGTTTAGTTTCTTTTAAGGACGGAGTTTGCATGGCCTTTTTTTTTTTAGTGTTCATGTGGTTTCAATTACTCCCCCAGTGTTCGACATTCCAGGAACATGAAAGTTACAGTACATGAACTGGAGAACCTAAATTACTCTAAAGTTCAACAGCACATTTATGTGGTCAGTCCATCATTGTCATTATTTACTTAAAACCTGTCATTTTAGGTCATTTAACTTTGGGAAAACATCATATTTATATTCCATTTAACAGAAGAATACGGTCTCAACTTTAAAGTGCATTAGACAACTTGTGTCAAACATAAGCTATTTTGTCAAAGTCTCTTCAACATCTGTTTAATGTGTGCTGTGACTGAACACAGTCCCTGTAACCCTGAAAAGAACAAAGTAAATAAATTAAACATCAAGCTAAAGTCAGCAAGCTGGTAAATGTTTTTTTTCAGTTTTGGGCCCAGAAACAAAGCAGGAGCAGTGTGGTTCATGAATATGTCCCGTGCTCTTGCTATTTTATCAGAAAAGTCACAGTGAAGTAATTTAAGCAGTGCAAGGACAAGCAAGATAGATGCACATAAGGACTCGAAGAAAGGAAACTGTGCCACAAATAATACCAGAAACAACAAAGACACCACTTAGAGCTGTTAAACACAAAACACTGAGCAGCACAGAAGCGCTACAGCATCAATTAAGCATCGATTCACTTATCGCTTCTCATCCTGGGAAGATGATGCCAGACACTGCAGCTGAAATGTGTCGTTTTTTTAATATTAAAACTCTGTCAGTTGTTCTCTCGATATAGTTGGAGATTGCTCTTCAGTTAATGCGACGTTCTCTCACACACATGAGAGAGTCAAGAGTGTGCAGAACAGGCTG